TTCAACACACAGGATCGTCAAAGGGAATTGTAAAGGGTCATTGTGTCTCGCGAATGAATTTTCTGATCACGAATGATTGCCTTCTCCAAAGCCAATTTTTATTCACAGAAGGGTCTGCCAGCAGTCTTTCTCATCACCATATTGCAGGACTTGTTGTTTGTTTCGGTTTTGAAAACGTGTGCAATAGTTAACATTATGCAACGCACACGAAGCAGTGGGAGGTAACGTAAAGAAATTTAGGATCCTTTTTGAACAAGCCAGCCGCCGGGGGCTGAAGGAATCTCCAGCATAGTACCGTGCACTGAACAATTAACACAAGGTCGCGTCCCGTAGGCACAGCACCGGAAACCATTGGGAAGATTCAATCGTTCGGACAACATTTTATTTGTCTGACGTTTCGACATCCATCGCAGGTTCTCTATCAAAGAAATGAGCAGAAAGCAGCAGCAGAAACGGGTACCACATGCACAGAAAGTTGCAGTATTTATAGGACAGAGTCATTTCTGCAGACCTATGACAAATAACGACAATTGCCTTATTGTGTGTTGATTGCTTGATTACCGGCATGGGGGGCCTGACTTGCTGAAGTTTCATCACGCGTGGTGGAATTGGACGAGATGATTGCTCGGCCGTCTGCCCCCCCCGTGTTGGCGTAAGGCGACGCGGTGGCCTGCGCGTTCCTTAAGTGGCGATTTGCTTTGGTCAAACCATACTCGATCCGAAATTACATATCAATGTGTAAACTACGGTTTCTGGCGCTCCAACCTATAACATGCAGCTCAAAGGAATTCACAGACAGGAATTTAGTTTGCGTTACTCTTGACACTAAGACGCTTGCCGTCGTTTGCTATTATATGCACTTTTGTCATCTCTTCAATCCCAGCATTTTAATTTCTCCTTCAGATGGTTAAGCAATTCTACGATATCCTACGGAAACTGCCAACCATGGTCGAAATCGACGTTCCAGACGTAAGTGCCGTTATCTAGGCCATTTACCTTCTTTTAAGGGGGCAAAGTTTACGGTTTGCGGCGACGTGCATGGTCAGTTCTACGATCTCGTCAACATTTTTGAACTGAATGGTTTACCGTCAACGGAGAATCCCTACGTATGCATCATCGCCTCCTTTACTCTAACAACCTGCCCACTTTTCCGCTAGTTGTTCAACGGTGATTTTGTAGACCGTGGTTCCTTCTCCGTGGAGTGCATTTTCACCCTTATCGGTTTCAAGCTGCTCTATCCAAATCACTTCTTCATGTCACGAGGTAAGGAGCCAGTCAATTTCCTTTAGTGCTTTTGATACGACAGTCACTATTTCGCAACCCAATTGTTCAGCTTCACTCGTACAGCGCTATTTTGATTCACGTTTGCGCCACTTTCGCACTCCTCCAGTTTACAGAGAGGAAAGTTGTTTGCGCCTTGTCATCTGCACAACTGAAGACGAAAATCAAGGGCTCAATGTGTGTCCAACCATTACTTGGTCTTGCAGGCCGCCGCCCAGCTGCGAACGATTAGTGGTGGAAAGCGGTTTTCCCAGAGGAGGGGAGAAGATGGACAAAGCATTTTAGCTCGTTTGCTGTCCTCAGTCAGCTCTACTCTAATCCTGAGCCGGGGAGACCTTTTTCGCTTATTGACCGATTCTCACTGGGCGGTGGTCTGTGTTAGTCATGGCCTACACTGTTGGGTGGAGCGAAGGTTTTTTAAGTCATTCAAGCAAGTTGGGTCCGCGAGCTCCAACCTCACCAATTGTCGGTAGTCCCTGTTAAATCGACCTTGCGCTTGGGTGGCGGAACTCTCAGTTCGCTCAAGCTGCGTTCAAATATGAGATTGGGACACGGAGTTGGATGTCCTTCGCCGGTAATAGCGGTTAATGCGGACACAATCGTCCAACTTTTCGCCTTCGTCCGTAAGCTTCTGTCTCTCCGAATCACGAGACCCCCCATTCTAAACAGGACTTTAGCGGTTTGTTTATCAAACCAAAAAATATGCCTACCGCAGTTCAAATGACGTCTCATGTCCATGGCGTGAACACTTCGAGCGCCTACTCAACTTTGACGAACAACCCATCACAC